CCTCTTACTGGATCCTTGATAGGCTACTTGGAAGCATCATGTCCAGGATCCATTGCCCTGCCCATGGCCTATTAGCATCTTTTCCACTTGTGTGTCCCCTCTGCCCCCACAGCCTGATTTAAAACCACATCAACAAGTGACATTACCTTGCAGATTTTGCTGTGTGTGGTATCATAGAAAGGCACATAGGGGATAAAAGGAGAGGATTAGGAAGTGTGTTTTGTGCATTGCTCATGGGGTAAATAAAGATGAAATGCAAGGCAATCAGGGATTTCAGTTTGGCACTGCTATTTGAGAGCATCGGAAGGATGATTACACTAAAGATTTAGTGAATCAGAGCACAATTTCTGGAAGAGAACTCAAAGGAATTGGGGCTAGGCAGTGCAAAGAATCTATGTCAACGTAATGCTGTAAGAATTCATTATAGGAAGCTGTAAGGACATAAGGTGAAGAGGCCGTAATTTGTTGTTCAAGGAAAGTCAACATCAAGAGATACAGAAGTCTGACAGTACAACAGTTGATTGAGATGGGAGGAACAGGGGGATATATATCTTCCTATATCTATATTTGTGCAAGACTGTCATCACACTAAGGTTTATTCTGCACAGGTATAAGTGGGAAGAGGGAGGAGGAAGTCCTTCACCAGAAGCAGGAAGAGGTTCTTGTTGTGGGGAGATAACATGAAGGCAGCCAGCAGTCCATTTTCCCAGAGAGCCTGCTTGGAGAAAGAGGCATGAAAGGAGGCGTGGGGAACAGCAGCAGCAGCAGCAAACTCAGTCTGAGGTGAGGCTCCAGCTTCCAACCCTCTCTTACCCTTCTCCTCCTTCCCAAGTCCTACAATGTATTGGTACTAGTGGCGAAAGTCAGCAAAAAGGAGCTCAATCCCAGTCATGACAATGTTAATAACAGCTATGATAATAGCTGTGATTCCTGCACTGCAGAGTGTTGGACCCTTTGGGTGTCTTCCGATTCTACAGTTCTATCATTCTTTAAGATCTCAGGAAGAAGCAATGGGGGGGGGGGATGTGAGCAAATCTGAACTTAGGACACAATTCAGACTCTGTGCTACTACTGCATGCATTGCCCTGCTGTTCTTGTCAATGGTGGAAACTTGAGTGTGGTGGGGGGCGGCAATCGGAAGCAATCCTTGCACTAACTTGATGCTGGTGCAACCATCAGGTTTGTATCAGACCCAGTGTTGGACATTAATGGCTGTGAGACTGGCTCAAGCTCCCTGGGATCCCGAGCTGTTTCGAACCTGCCCTTTCCATTGCATAATTCCATTGGCAGCAGTTGGCAGGAGGCTGATTCAGCCAAAAGAACTAAGTGAATGAGAACCTCTGTTCAGTCCACACACTCACACAGTGCAATGGGGAGATTAGATTGCTCTTATGGTAACTCTTACTCAGAGCAGGCATGGAGAAGAAATGGGATACATTTCACACTGAAAGGCAAACTTACCTGATTCACACTTTTTGAAACAAGATGTGAACAACCATCTTTTGAAATTCACGCATTTCGGAATTTTGCAATGCAGTTCTCAAGCAAACAAATGCGTGCAAAAGTGAATATCTTAGAATAAAGTGTGCACATGAATGCATCTATCAATGAAAATTACTAACAAAAATCTATTGTACATGGAGAAATTGCTTTGCAAAAAATGGCTTATTAGGCAAAGCTGAATACAAAAATGTGTACATTGGAAGAAATTTGCACTAAAACACTGGTGAATTTTCATAAAGACTTTGAAAAGCAACACAAACTGGTGTGGAAATGTGGAGAGCTGCACTGAAGATTGGGAAAAATGAGAAAGTGAGAGAAAACAAAAATGCCTATTTCCTCATCCCTACTTCAGAGTAAGCATGCATGGGGCTAAGTTGTAAAAAATATAGATGGACTGGTGTTTATGATACAACATAAAATCAGAAGACCCAGAGATGCTTTGCTTAGCTGCAGGGCCTTTGTGTACTGTATTCTGACCCAGGGAGATTCTTTCCCCCCATTCCATTTAGTAATGGAGCGATAAAACCTGCTCTATAGAGGGAATTTATAATGGAAAACACTGCCAAAGCCTTAACTAGTGCATTTTGGACAGCACCCTTCAATAAACCCTGTTTCAGGCTGAATTATTCATAGCTAAATGGACAGAACTCTCTCAACAACAAGGTTAGACCAATAAAATACATGTATTGTATTCCCAAGCCTGTGAAGATTATATGTTTTCTTTGAGTGCTCTGGGCCTTGATAACCAGTGGCGAGCAGAGTAGATGGATGGGGATGTTACATGCTGTACCATTTGCACTGTAAGTAGGTAACATTCTCTCAATATCTAGGACAAAAGTTTGAGGGTGTGCTAATCTCCTTCCAGGCATCCCAGTGTGATGGGCAAGGGGGCAGGGAAGGAGAGAAATGGTTTTCTGGGAGCAAATTGCCTTTATTAATATTTAATTGGTTCTCCACAACCACCCTAAGACCCTTGAAACTGTTTACCACAATGCAATCATTTTCTCCATGACCAGTGCTATTTTCTTAGAAAAAGAGGTGCTGGAACTCACCAGGAATTCCTCCCTTGTTATAATGGCAATGGCGCCCACATGAGAGGTGCCAGAACTGAGTTCTGGCAAGTTCTGGCTGAAGAAAAGCCCTGTCTATAACTAAACTTGAAGGGACACGGGTGGCGCTGTGGGTAAAACCTCAGCGCCTAGGACTTGCCGATTGCATGGTCGGCGATTCGAATCCCCGCAACGGGGTGAGCTCCCGTCGTTCGGTCCCAGATCCTGCCCACCTAGCAGTTTGAAAGCACCCCTAAGTGCAAGTAGATAAATAGGTACCGCTGTATAGCGGGAAGGTAACGGCGTTTCAGTGTGCGGCGCTGGTGCTGGCTCACCAGCTGCAGCTTTGTCACGCTGGCCACGTGACCCGGAAGTGTCTTCGGACGGCGCCGGCTCCCGGCCTCTAGAGTGAGATGAGCGCACAACCCTAGAGTCTGTCAAGACTGGCCCGTACGGGCAGGGGTACCTTTTATAACTAAACTTGAATGACGTTTGGGAAGCAGGGTGGAACCACTTGAAGGTAAGGTGGCACATGTATGTAATGGTCCAAGGGGGACTTACACAATGGAATGACACTTCACTGACTGTGAACTGCATGGGGTTGGTCATGGCCGAGGACTGAAAAAATAATAATAACAAAAACGCTGACACAAATGACAAACTTGAAGCATGGACCACTTCACAGAGAGCCCATGTGGGGTAGTGCAAAGAGTGGCATAAAGCTCACTGGGTGACCTTGGGCCAGTAACTGCCTTTAAGCCTAACCTATCTCACAGGATTGTTGCAGGGATTAAATGAGGATGGGGAGAAGCATGTACCACCTTAAGCACCTCACAGAAAAAGGTGGGATATAACTGCAGTAAATAAATTAATTAAAGATAAGCATAAACAGAAACTAGCAGAGAGGTGAGAATGAGGTGACAAGGGAGAAGTGAGGAGTTCCCTTTTACTAGCAGTGGAAGGACTAGGAGCTCTGAGTTCTGAGATTTCTAAAGCTGTTGATGTAAACAGCCATTCATTATATTATCTCTCTCTCTCTGACTCATCATAGGCAGCAGACTGAACTTAAAAGATGGTTCATCAATCACCAAAACAGTAGCAGATGAATGCCAGAGAGCCACAATCCAAATTTAACAATTACACTATGGGCAAATGTTTTAAAGCAAAAAGAATGGCATCAGGATGCAAGCATTTATCACACTGTGGCAGGGGCGTAGGAAGGGGGGGTGGACAGCCCCAGGTGTCATCCCTGAGGGGGTGACAAAATGGCACACCGTGGGGAGCTGCACTCACTGTGGTGCCTGGTCTGCAGCGCACCTGAGCCACGTGTCTCTCCTGGGAGTGACGCCGTGGGGCTTGTGTCTGCCAGGTAGACTCTGTGGGCAGCTCACTGCGGTGCCCCCCTGGGTGGATTGTCGCAGCGCCCCCGTGTGTGGATCACTGCAGTGCCCCCATAGGCAGATCATCCCACCCCCACTGCTCCGGGTGCTACTTACGCCCCTGTACCATGGGTGACATTTGTCCAACAACGGAGGAGAAGGATCACACACAGGACATTTTCTGACCTAGACAGTTTACAGTTCAGAGCAGGGATGTCAAACCTATGGTCCTCCTGGTGTAGTTGGCCATTATTTCTCATCAGCTTCAGCTAGCATGGCTGATGGTCAGGGATGATGGGAGCTGTAACCTGAGAACATCTGCTTCCCTCACATGCCCTAAAGAGTTGCTGCTAGTCAGATGGCACCACACTGGGCTCAATGGCCCACTGGTCTGATTTGTGTTGGTTCAAACAAGTACATTAATCACTCCACGACTCCAGCATCAAGCAACGTCTTCCATGTATGAATGGGCCATTGCAGAATGAAACATCACAGATCAGATCCATATCTGACTTGGGTGTTATGCATACCAAGAAATATGCATCTCCTCCTCCAGTACTTCCAAAAGCTTCAGTAAGCATCCTATGAAAAACTGTGGAACTGTCTCCCACAGCAGGCACTGATGGCCACCAACAGACAGCTTTAAAAGAGGATCGGACAAATTTATGGAGGAGAAAGCTATTGATGACTATTAGGCATAAGACTCTTAATTTCAGAGTTGTGAGTCTGAACCCCACATTGGACAAAGGATTCCTGTATTACAGGGAGTTGGACTAGGTAACTCTCATGGTTCATTCCAACTCTACAATTCTATGATGGCTATGCTTTGCAATCACAGTCAGAGGCTATATGCTTCTGAATCCCAGTTGCTGGAAACTGCATAAAGGGAGGGTGGTCTTGTGTTCAGGTCCTGCTTGCGGGTTTCTGGCATCTGGGGAGCTACTGTGGGAACAGTATGCTGGACTATATGGACCAATGGCTAGATCCAACACCCTCTTGAACCATCAAAGCAGCAGTGGCAATGACCAAGTTAGCAAAAAGTCACAAATTATTTGCTTCCTTTTTTCCAATTTATATAGCGCTCAATTGTTAAAAACAAAACCCTCAAAGCAGTTACATGGAAGTATGATTTGAAATCAAGAGGTCACCCTTTAGTGGGTAGTAGAGAGGCCAAAGGATGGGGAAGTATTGGAGGGAGGGAGAGAGGAGGGTGGCAGGCTTAAAATATACTATGTGGCAGATGATTTATCAAAGGCTCCCAATGTTACATTAAAAGGGCTGCACGTCGCCCATCCAAGGTGCTCAGTAATGATTCCCCCACCCTTTCATCCTAAAGCAGCGATAAATTAGAAGCTCCTAATATCTGAATCTGAGGATCCCATTAAAATGATTTACAGCCTCGTTGGAGGCTGCGTTATTCACAGGGCAGGATGAATGAAGCCGATGTGTCCGTTCTGCCAGGAGGCAAAACTTAAGGCTGGTCAGATCCCATCAGGAATCTAATTGAAAGATGGGAAGCGTTTTATATACACACATTTGGCACGGAATACCACCCCCCTCCTATGCACTGCCCAGGCGCTGAACACGCAACAGCAACAGAATTTATTTGCAAGAGATACCCTCGCCCTCATCATTACTCACAGCCAGGTTCTTTCCCTCTCTCCCTTCCAGATCCCTCTATCTTGCATGCATAAATTGCAGCTACTCCATACAGTTATTGGAAGTTTGATTCATTGACTCTCTCCTTCTCTCCCCCCCCCCCCACCTCTGCCCTTCCCCAGTTTTTCTGGTGGGAAGGTGAGTGTGGCATTGTTGTTTTTTGGTGAAAGGCCAAAAGGAAAAACTTGCCCTCTGCTTATATATATATATATATATATATATGAATAAAAGGACATGTCAAAGTAAAGGGAAAGAGGGGGAGGGGAGCCTTCTGGGGAGACATTGTGCAAGAAATAAGGAAGAATCTATCAATGCTATATATCTATATCTATTGATATAGATAGGGTGGTATACTAAATGATAAAAGTTGCTCTCCATTTTGGGCCTTGTTGGAATGGAGGAAGTTTCAGTTCTCTTCCCTCACATTTTTAAAACTTAAGAACAAAAGAACATAGGAGGAGCCAGTGTCCAATGGGTGTGCAGATCACACTGTATGAAGTGTTTTCAATAATTTTTTAAAAAATCAGAAAGTATCTAGGCTTTAAAAATACATTTTAAAACACACACCAGGAGAGCAGTTCGCCTTTTCTGAACCTGAAGCAAGGTGTCTTTTTCACTTAAGAAGTTCTTTGCCTCCTTCACCTGACTTTGTGCATCCTTTAATGGCAGGCATTGTTGCAAAGGAAGAAGCAAGCTGTGACTACTGAAGTGCAGCTGATCGATCCTGCAAAAAAAAAAAAAGTGCTGTTATTGGCTTTTTAAAAAATGCTTGTGCATACGCTTTGTTTCTTAAAGTTGGAGCTTTTCTCTTTTCATGACTCACTGATCTGCTCACAACGGTTACTATCCTCCTTGTCAGGCCCCCCTCCTATCATTATGGTTAATTCCCCCCTCTTTTTCAAATTCCTACAAACAGAGGATTTGTTTCACATCACTAGAAGTAACATAAAACTTAAAACATAAAAGATAAAACAAACATAACATAACAACATAACATAACATAACATAACATAACATAACAGGTGGTATTCAACTAAGTTTTATGCCAAGCAGATCCGCTGAGGTTAATAGACATGGCTAATTTAGATTCATTAACTTCAGTGGGTCTACTCTCAGTAGGATTTAGCAGATTACAACCCCCATCTTCTTGTATTCCCTGCTATCTATGTGAACAATTAAAACTAATATTTGAAAAATATTTACTATGTGCTGGGATTTTCAGCTTTGCCATTTAGCTGGTGAATGTTGAATTTCAAAGCCAAAAATAGAATTTTCCAGGTGACTCTGAAATTGCACTTCATAAATTGAGATCTCCGAATCTGTCGGTGTCTCACCATCATCACTGCTGCTTTATTTGAATGCTGCATTTTCCATCCAAAAGATTATGTTCAAGGTGGCTTACAATACTGAGAAAAAGAATGCACCACAAAATAAACACCTGCAAGAATAATTTCATAGTAACAGCAACAGTAAAATAGCAGCATACGACAAATGTAACAAAATTTGAAACCCCTAACATTTCAATACGATAATATGTGGCAGCATTAGACCTGCTGGAAGCTGCAAAAATAGCAAGAGAGCTTGAACAGTTTCATCTTGGTCCTGGATATAACAGTCCCTGCTGCTTTGTCTGCTACAAATTAGCCAAGAATCAAGCTACAGTAGTGTGATCAGATGTCTAGGCCCTGGTTTCCCAAAGGGCTGCTGCCCCTTTGACATTACCCTTCAGGTAGACATTCATCCCATGACATTGCTCACAGTCCCTCTCCTGCAACAGTTTCCTGGAAGACAGGCGCTGGGAACATTCCGCCCTCCAGCTGTTACTGATCTATAACTCCCATCAGTCCCAGCAAGCATGTCCAATGGCGAGGAATGGCAGGCATTGTAAACCAGCAACATCTGAAGGGTCAAAGGGCCCTCACAAGTATTGTAAGGCTTCCAAAGGCAGAGGGTGGAGGGTCAGCTGGAATGATTCCTCCAGTGACGTTTCTCCACCTCTTGATGATTTTGGCAGGCGTCAAATATGAAATATCAGAAGCAGGTCACTGTCAAATAATACATGGAATGTCATCTGTCAATCAGCATTCCACTTGAGTCATTGATGTCTGTAAAATGCAAGGTATCGTGGCATGTTAGTGTTTAGGGTGTTGGATGAGAACCTGAGAGACCAAATCCCCACTCGATCAAGGAGCACGCTGGGTGACATTGGTCACTGTCTCTTTTAGCCTAACATACCTCACTGGGTTGTTGGGGGGATAAAATGAGGAGGGGGAGAACCACAGATAATTAATATAATAATAATAATAATAATAATAATAATAATAATAATAATAATAATATATTTATACCCTGCCCATCTGGCTGGGCTTCCCCAGCCAATTTGGGCAGCTCCCAACTGAATATTAAAAACACAATACAGCATTAAAACAGGGCTGCCTTCAGATGTCTTTTAAAAGTAAGATAGTTGCTTATTGCCTTGACATCGGACGGGTGGGTATTCCACAGGGCAGGCACCACTACCGAGAAGGCCCTCTGACTGGTTCCCTCTAACCTCACTTCTCACAGTGAGGGAACCGCCAGAAGGCCCTTGGTGCTGGACCTCAGTGTCTAGGTGGAATGATGGGGGTAGAGATGCACCTTCAGGTATACAGGACAGAGGCAGTTTAGGACTTTAAAGGTCAGCACCAACACTTTGAATTGTGCTCGGAAACGTACTGGGAGCCAACGCAGATCTCTCAGGACCAGTGTTATATGGTCTCAGTGGCCACTCCCAGTCACCATTCCGGCTGCCACATTCTGGATTAATTGCAGTTTCCAAGTCACCTTCAAAGGTAGCCCCACATAGAGCGCATTGCAGTAGTCCAAGCAGGAAATGACTAGAGCATGCACCACTCTGGTGAGACAGTCCGTGGGCAGGTAGGGTCATCTTGAATTCATGGGAGGAAAGAAATTGAGGAGAAATTATGGAGCAACCACAGCATTTTCAGTAAACATTTATCACGAGAATAGGCCTGCTCCTTACACTTTCTGCCTTTGGAATGTTGTCTTTACTTATTGAGAGCCTCTTGGTCACAGTTCATGTTAATTGTGTATTTTTTGTTTGTTTTATTACCAAAGCTTGGGTTACAAACAGTCCATACAAGGCATCTGAGGTTTTTTAAAAAAATCTTTCCCCTGTTTAGTCTAGTGTGAAATTGTTTTCAGGTAGTGATTAATTCCACCCTGGCATTCTTCTCCCTTGTCAGATCATTCACACTGTTTGAGGGAACACTTTACTAAATGGTACCCTTCCCTTATCAGAATCTCAATTACAGCTCTGTTGTATCCCAACCAACTCATGCTATAGTAGGGTGGCAAGTTGCATCCCTTGTCCCTTACGGGTGTTCATATCCATTTTCTTTGCTTCTTAATTGTCAGGTAACACATGAGCTTATCTGAAACAAGACAGATGACATGGTGAGGCAAGATGCTATTTGCTTTGGTGGCCAGGGAGGTGGGGAGAAAGGTAGCTGAGAGTTAGCCTGGGGTGGGCTTAAAAGGTCCTGGAAGACCCTTTGAAGCAGCCTGGAAACACTAGCCAGGTGCAGAGACTGAGCTAGCTGCTCTGGGAGGTGGGGTGGGGTGACTTCTTTAACCCATCTCTTGTGCTTGGGAGATTCTCTTATGTCTGGTGTCATGTCCAATTTGACATTGTCCCATTTGGAAACAATGGCATTAGTCATGATCAGCTTGTTCTATTCTTTTCAAAGGGTTAAAGGTAAAGGGACCCCTGACCATTAGGTCCAGTCGTGGCCGACTCTGGGGTTGTGGCTCTCATCTCGCTTTATTGGCCGAGGGAGCCAGCGTACAGCTTCCGAGTCATGTGGCCAGCATGACTAAGCCGCTTCTGGCGAACCAGAGCAGCACACGGAAACATCGTTTACCTTCCCGCCGGAGTGGTACCTATTTATCTACTTGCACTTTGACGTGCTTTCGAACTGCTAGGTTGGCAGGAGCAGGGACTGAGCAACGGGAGCTCACCCCGTCACGGGGATTCGAACCACCAACCTTCTGATTGGCAAGTCCTAGGCTCTGTGGTTTAACCCACAGCACCACCCGTGTCTCTTTCAAAGGGTTAGTCTTGACTAATTTTAAGTGGATTGGAACCCAAAAGTTTTACATGGGTTTCCCCTGTCATCATCATCATAATTTTTTTTAAAAAAAATAATCCTAACTTTTGCAGCAGGAGGAAATGAAAGGATCCTCATATTGCAGGTTTCCTCAGCAAAGCAGAGAATGAAAATATATAGAAAGGTGAAAACAACAAATTACTAGAAGCTTCCTGGGAATAGATTCCAGCGAATGGGAAATGGGATTTTTATAATCTCTAAGCAATTTGTTATTTTGACCTTTGCATATTTTTTTGCAAAGCTAAGGTTGGGTGCACACTTTGAATAAAGTGCACTGAGAGTGAGTGATAACAGATTATGCAGCAGCAGGGAGCCTCTTGCATACTAACAGCCCATTTCTGGGTATATCTAATGTGTGTGTCTCTGTGTGTGTGCATTTGTTTTGCATAGGGTACAATTTTTTTTGGTAAAGGAAGTGTTATGCATGCCCTTGGATAAAAAAGCTCTTCAAATCCAGCAACATTTACAAAGTTTTCTGCTCAGAACTCAAATTCAGGCTTTTGAGTCAGAAGGTGGCGTTTGGCTAATCACATGCACTATGCAAAACTAGCAACTTTCTCCCATTTCAAAGAAGGATGCACAAGCATCCCTTTGCTTGAAATGGATCGAGTGTTTGCCAGATATTGGCCTGAGCACTAGCAAAAGCCCAAAACTTTGCTTGAGTGCTTGAGACTTGAGACTTTGCAAGAGGCCAAATTGATTTTTCCACTCCCTCCACTACAAGGGCCCATAATGCTTCCTTTTGGTGGGGGAAAGGAGCCTTGAAGCTACTCATATGTGATGCATGGGCAGTAACAGGTGGAGGATCCTTTCTTGCTGGAATGGGACCCAGACGACAGCTCCCAGCACTCCCATGTGGTTCTATAGGCACTAATTTCCATCAGGGAGAAGACCATATAGATGCCAAAGGGCTTTCTCCCTGGTAGAAATGGAACAGCATCATTTTCCTTCTAGGGATGCTGCGCTTTCCCAGTTACATCCTCAGTAAGAAAGAATGCTCTGCCAGGGATATGATACACCTGCTACTTTCTTTCAAGCAAGAAACCACTACCTGCCTCCATTTTTTACCCCCAATATCCCAAGATAGTTTGGCTCTTGGGGTTGGTGGTAGTGGAGGACGTGGAAGCAGATACTTAATGTCTGAGTCAAAGTGACGCTTGCTGGCTTGAATGTACTCATGAGGAATTGAACAGGGGTACCCACTTTTGTTGACATCATTTCTCATGACACCTCCAGTTTCAATTTTTTTTACAGACTGGCAGCAAGGTGTGCCAGCAGATTGAAAGTTACATGCCTCTGAGCATTCATCCACGCTTCCACTTGTTCTGCCACTTTCCCACTTTTTACTGTTGAATTGGAGTAAAGGTCAATCGGGCTTTTTGCTGGTTGACCATTTAATGGTAAAGAGTGTGTTTTTCCGGGGAGAGTGGCAGCACAAATGGAAAACCACTTGGAACTGTTCCTAGAGAGTATGCGACAAGGGAAACATCTCTGCCCCATGCTTTCTAGATGTGGGACAAGTGAAGTGTGAATGAACCCTGAGTCACCTGCTATGGGATGTGAATCCAGAGGCTCAGAATCACATGTGGAGATGTATATGGATAGAGTCCGCCCTCTTCAGCATGGATGCCAACATAGTGAATAGGTATACAATTTAGAAAGTTGTTGGTTCACAACTCACCGGAATTAACATCTCGCTAGGCTGCCTTAGGCAAGACACCGTTATCCCAGCTTCAGCCCTCCTCCCTCGCAATAAATATACTGGCCTTACAGGATTGTTGTGAGAACTGCTGCATATCTAGCAGGCCCTGCCTGCTGCTGGAGAGGAAGCAACATGTGCCTCCCTCCTTCACCCACCAAAGCCAAGATACATAATCAGACCAATTGGTTTGGTTTGTGAGGCAAGAAAGCCCACATCTCCTCTGCTGCCTGATGCATCTGCCTCACTCTGTTTAATGGTAGAGCTGGGCCCAAAGTCTTGATTGATTGATTGCAATGTTCTCTACACGGGTCTCCCATATGGGGATCAAACCTGCAACCTTGGCATTATGTTTGGCTATAGCTCCCACCAGCTCTGGTTAGCACAGCCAACAGTCAAGGAAGATGGAAGTTGCAACCCAGCAATAAATGGAGGTCTCCCACCCCTGCTTGTACTCACACAAGGCTGCTTGACCATTAAGATGAGCATGGCCCCAGCTTCTGAAAAGAGAAGGGTGACAATGAAGAACAGGGTCTTTTTTATTATGGCACCTTGTACAGAGAATGCCTCCTGTCCCTTCATCCAGATCCTCCTTTGCTCACCTTTAGAAAGAATATAAATGCACCATTTCCCCCCTGCTGCTTTTAACATGTTTTGATGCTGCTGTTTATTTGATTTCTGTTACTGATTGCTTTCCTTATTATTTGTTTTCTCTCTCGCTTCCAAATGCTTTATAGTGATTTGTTTTTATATGCTGTGAGCTGCCTCATTAACCTTTTTGGTTAAGAGGTGGGGTATGAATACAACAAACAAATACAACACAAGCTGCTCTGCAAATGGAAAGCCCTCTATAAATGTGCATCAAGGAACGCAACTGATGAGCAGTGTACAATTAGTGCTTTGTCACAAAGTCTGCTAATGGGAAGGGGAAGTTTATATGTAGGGCAGGGAAGGGCAATGATCACAACACAGTAGGGAGCGGTGAAGGCAAAATGTCAGCCTGGATAGCTCTGTTGGTTGGAGTGTGGTGCTGATAACACTAAGGTTGCAGGTTTGATCCCCCTATGGGACAGCTGCATATTCCTGCATTGCAAGGGGTGGGACTAGATCAGGGGTCTGCAACCTTTAAGACAAAAAGAGCCACTTGGACCCATTTCCGAAGAAAAAAAAAACTGGGAGCTGCAAAACTCGTCATTATAAAAATAACTTTTTTGTCACTTTTTTATTATTTCTTTGTTTGACCCCTCAGAATTACTCCTCCTCATAGAAATAAACGTTAAATTAACAAGTTACCTTTTTGTGTGTGTGTGTTCTTCACTCCCCTTCAAAACAGTGACCAGCGTACATGCCCCCTTTCAATGCAGTGACCAGCGTACATGCCCCTTACAATGTAGAGGGCGGGCGGGTGGGAAGGTGACGTTGGGACGGTGCGTGACTAACGCACGCACCGCCCTCATGTGACGTCACAGCCAGTACAGCGCCCGCCACAGTGGGGAGTGTCGGGGCGCACAATGCGCCTCCTCCCCTTGCTAGCATCCGCCCCAGAGCCGCGGCAAAGGTGTAAAAGAGCCACATGCGGCTCCGGAGCCGTGGGTTGCCGACCCCTGGACTAGATGAACCTTGGGGTCCTTTCCAACTCTATCATTCTATGATCCATGAAAATGTGGCCGAGATCAGCATTGCCTCTATGTCAGTTCCTGCCTGGTGCATTGCCTATACCATTCCATCAAGAACGAAGGATCATGAGATCCTTTGGGTGAAGGGATTTCCTTCCTTGAGAGAGACCAGTGCAGGGGGTCCATTCGTACCTGAGGGTCCCTATAATTCTTATAAGAGGAGGAGAGAGCCTTTTAAAATAAGTCAGCCACTGGCTCCATTCTTCTGATCTCCACCAGCAAAGTATTGTTAACACACTGGGGATAACCAGCTTAATATTCAGGCCTTAGTCATTAACTTTCCCTTTAGCATTGTCTGGATTCCTTCATTGTCTGACTTTCCCCAACTGTCTCTCCTAACTGACAGTTAACTCCCAACTGTCATTCCCAACCAGCCAGAACCTCTGGCCCATCAGACTTTGTTGTTTCTCAGGCCTATTGAAATGAATTCAGCAGAACCAAGTCCCATTTATAAATATAAAAAAAGTTTCTCTCTCTCCTTTCAGAGCCTGCCACCAAGCAGCTACTTCTAAGTAGGTCTACAACACAGTAACAGCACAAGGCCTCCAATCCCATTCCTAGAAAGGCTCTGACTGTGGCTGATGACCTTGACAGACTCTGTTAAGTGTCACTACCTAATCTTATTCCTCCAAATTGGTGTGAAGCCAGAACTCAACACCGCATTGAGCTGCTGACAAAAGCAATGAATTTTTTGCCTTGATTTTTCGCTACAAAGCTCGTGTTCTCCATAGAGCCACTGCTAGCACAATACATAGCAGAAGCGATTTAGTCAATCAATTTACACAAGCTTACTTGATTGGAAAGGCAAGCATGATTAATTGGGAATAGGGGTCAATTATTTTTTTAAAAAGTATTTTCTTTTTAATTTATATTCTTACTTATGTATCTAGCCTGCCTTTCTTCTGTCATGGAACCCAAGATTGTATACATGTGGCTCTGACACAATCTCTCATCTGGGCATTGGCTAGGTTTGGCCATGCTTAGCTCTATGTTCCTTCAGACACATACTCTCATGTCTGATTTCCCTTCCCTGTTTCGGCAATGGGAATAAAAGGGGGAAACTTGTGTTGAAACCTGGATGCTAACTAATTGTTAGCATTGTCCCATTAAGGGGTAGATTTGGACCAGGACTGCCAGTTGCTAATGATAATGCTTAGTCTGTTGGAAGTGCAACACCAGAGATCATTCAGTCTGTAACTTAAGGGGTTAATTTAGTTCTCAATGCTAGTCAGCTATCCAAGGGCTGTGTGTGGAGGTGTTGCTTAACAACCAGTCATAGTGGCATGAGCCTCACTGATTGGCTATGTAGAGTTTTCCTCTATATATTTCGTTGTTTGTCTCCTTGCTATGTGCAAGACCTGAAGTAAGACAAAACTTCTCTGTTCCTTTCTCCTCAGATCACACACTGTATTCAGTTTCCCCACTAAAAAATTATCAGAATTTCTTTTCTCACTGGACTGCATCAACATTATTTTAAGTGACTTGACTAACCTAGCCTTGCTGAGAAATTCTACGAGGACCTCTAGGTACTAGGCTCTGAGTAAAATATCAGCTGAAATACATCTGCATTGATTTGGAACACATCCCCTTCCAAATTATAAGGCATATCCATATCTCCAAATAAAAGGAAGCAATTTCTTCAAAGAGGCTGCGTCTCCTCCTTCCATCATCTCAGCTTCACCTCCTGCAATCAGAGTGCCATGGGTTCAAGAGGGTGCTAAACCCACCCTTATGCAGGCTTTCCTTTGGCGTCATGACAGCCTCTTCCTATTGTTTGACTTGAGAGGAGAACCTTGCTAATTGGCAGTGTAGCACTGTGCACGGAGGAGAAGAAGAGCAGCAGCTGTGTGTGCCTCTCAGCTTCCTGGAGAGGTTGCAATGGCAAGGCACTTCCAGCTCCTCCAGCGTTTCCCCAGCCAAACAAACAAAAGAAGAACCCAGCCAAACAAACATGCAGATGTATATTCATGTGCAGCGTCAAGAGATCTGCCCAAGGAGAATTGGGATTTGATTTGCATCTTCAGGAACAGGAACTCTTTGTCTCTGAGAAGGGTCTCCAAGCAATTAGCAGATGGAGCAATGGGGCAGATGAATGGGAGTTGGAGGAAGAGGAAGCAGAGAAAGGGACTTCAGCCTCTTGTGAAAATTAGTCCCTAGGTGTAGGTGGGGAGGCTTTTTGAAAACTTCATCTATGTGCTGCTTTTCTGAAGTGGATTTTATCCCAAAGCAAAGCATTTGCACTGCTGTCTCAAACCATGAAAACAATAAGATGATTCCTTATAATGAATTTTTGAGAGTTTATTTTGAGAATCCTATATACTTCAGAGTTTGTGAATGCGTAGGTGAACCTTGGTGGCAGGAGATGTAGTACGTTTTGGATTTTGATGATGATGGTGATTTTAACAAAAAATGCATACTAGTATTCTTGTTGCTGGCAATTCTGAGAAAGTCATTCATGCTGGCCAAACCAGAGAGAGAGAGACAGAGAGAGAGCTAAACCAGATCTTACACAGAAGACATTTTTTAAAATGAGACTTGCGTTTCTTAGGTCCTTAGTTGTAGTTACCGTATTGGCCTGAATATAAGCCTCACTTTCCCCCCAAATTCTGACTGTGAAAAGTTAAAGTGCAGCTTATATTTGCGACCTTACGGTATACAGCCAGGAGCACAGGGCAAACAGCATCAGGAGCACGGCAAAGTGGTGCCTGCCCCATGTGTAGTTCCCCCGTCCTCTCCCCCAAGAGTGAGGAAGGGGAAAAGGCTGCCAGCAACGCAGTGTGCCCCCCATCCATATGCAGCCAGGAGCAGCAAGGAAGGGTGTGCCTTATATTCAGGTATTTCTTCTTTTTTTCTCCCCCCCTCCAATTTTAAAGGTGCAGCTTATATTCAGGTGCTGCTTATATTTGAGCAAATACGGTAATAGAGGGGCCTTGGTTTACCCCCAAATCTGTGTCTTTCCTCCATTTCCAATCTCCTAACACAATGCCAGTTTCTCTTCTTTTCTTCAGTCTTGAGCTCAGTTCACCACATTCCCACATCAGTTTGCCTTAAAAAAAAGTCTTCATGAAAATTCACCAGCATTTTAATATATATAATATAAATATAAATAAATAAAATAAAATTCAATATATGTTGCTCTTAATATGCACATTTTTCATATGCAGTTTCCCCTAATGTCCACATTCTTGCATACAATTTCCCCTAACACATTTTGGGGTTCAAGAACTGCATCACAAAATTCGGAGAAGAGCGAATTTCCAAGGATATCTTTCTTTTGGTGCCTGCATAGTTATGGATAGCAGAGAAGCCTGCTTCTTTATGTAACCTACTTAGGTTTCTACCAGCCTCTCCTTTGTCCTTGAAATACAGGAGAGGATAAACAGAAGTGCCCAGCCTGACCTTTTCTTACTCACTGCCATCTTCAACGCTCTCATCTCCGCTCCAGACTAAACTGTCCTAATCTTTTTTAAATCTGTCCTGATATGGAAATCCCTTCATCCAGGAGACCTCTAATTGCTTTCATTGCCCTCATGCAGGTTTTTCCCCTCCTTTCTTTTTATGGGGAAGGTGGTGACAGAAAGGTGTTTGAGACCTGAATGGGAACTCTGTTACAGATTGCTGAGAGACCAGACAACTCAAGGTTACAGGGGACAAGCAGGACACAGGTACAAGTCCATTCCCTGGAATATCAATCAGAAGGATAGACATTTGAATGCTGATGCTAAAAGTGTTGTCTCTACAAAACTCAGTAATTCAGCTCTACATTAGATGCACCACTGGGCTATGTATAAGTTGCTTTTGGAGATGGCCATAGAATTAACAGTCTTCAGGCTGTAACAGTTGGGAAGGGACATTCCAAAGAGAAAAGGCCCCACCTACAGATGTTGTCCAGGATTATCTATGAGGATGAGGATGATGTTGCATGCAAAGCAGATTGTCTAATCCTGTGCTATGGACACCCCTAGACTTGGGAGTCTTCTATTGCATTTAAAGGGACATTGGGATTGTCTCCCTTTGGAAAAATGGCTGAATGAAGAATGATCTGATATAAAAACATGAACTCCAAAAGAGAAGATTCAGCAAACCTGCAGACAGAACAGCAGGTGCTTCAAAGTTCTGAAGAAACATCAGGAGGGGCAAGATTGGCCCAGGGTCAGGGTTGCCATGGTAACAATGACTTGCCCTCCTTTGTGACATCTCTTGCTTCTCCCTTAAAAGCCACCAACTACAGGTGTCCACTGTGGGTTAGTGAGGAGAGATCAGAAGAGATAGAGGTGCGGTTGGTGGAAGGAGATTTAGGAGAGGCTTTGGATTTGGATTTTCTTATTTGGATTTTCTCATTTTGACTTTTATTTGATTTTATTTGATTTATTTGATTTCAATTGTTTTAATTTTTAATTTAATTTTAATTGTTTTAATTTTTTTGTTAATTTTTTTACTTTTGTTCTTTATTTTAATATTTTGTTTTAATATTTATTTTTTATTTCAATATTTTTTGTTTTATTTTTTACTTTTGTTCTTTATTTTAATTTTTAATTTTTAATTTTTTTAATTTTAGTGCATATTATATATTTTTGGTGTATATTTTGTATATAGAGGAATAGATAGGGTTAGACGTAGGATTAGGGCTGGGGTTAGGGTTTAGGCTTAGGGCTGGGCTGGGCTGGGGATTGGAGTTAGGCTTGGGTGGGCATCTTAGCTAGCTAGATAGTGTAGAAAGGAGGGAGGGACTTCTTCTGGACACCATGTTCAGACTGTAAGTAGGATTTCTTCCCCTTCTCTATGTCTCCTGGGGTGGGGTCCTGGGATCCCCTGCACAGCTTCAGCCCCCTGAAATTGTCTCAGCCAGTCACTCCCCTCATGAAGAGCTCAGCTCCTCCACACTCTTTCCCTGCCTTCCCATTTCCTCTCGTCTCCCATCTCATCAATTACATCTATTATTTACATTCATAGGTCAGCTTTCCTCCAAGCACCTCAAGATGGCTCTCCCCGCCACCAGTTTTTACCCTCACATCAACCCTGCAAAATAGGCTAGTGAGCTTCATGGAGATTTGAACACTGTTCTTCCAGGGCCTCCTAGTCCAGCACTCTAACCAGTACATGTCTCCCCACTTCCATCTTCCATCTCTTCAACGGTCAAGCCCAATAGGCATTCTCCCCCCTTTCTGTGAGTCTCTCTGTCTCTAAGCAAGACTCCACCACCTTCCTCTCTCAGCTGCCCAACATTCTTCTGCTTGTCTTCTTGGACCCCTTGATGCTTGGAGGACCCAACTAGTGGTCTCCCCCCTCTTTGGGCAGGGCTGTCCTCAAAAGACTAGGCAGAGGAGCCCTTTAAATGCTTCTCTTTCCTTTGGGGTGCAGTGTTACAATCGCTCATGGGATATAGCATAGCAGGAAAAGGAGAGTGGAGGCCTGTTTAGTCCAGTGGCCAACCAGATGTCTCCAGGAAGCCCACAAGTAATAGCCCAAACCTGTTCATTGTTCTCTAACAGGTGGCTTCAGTGGTAGACTGCCTCTGAACCTGGAAGTTCTATATACTGTTTCTATTTCAGATCATAACCATAGATACTCTCCTCTTCCTCCATGAATAGGTATGACCCCCCCCTTTCCAATCTCGCAAGCCAGTTGTCCTTGTCACATCTTTCAGCTGCCAATTTCACAAACCATTAAACATTATGTGAAGAAGTGCCCATCAATGTTAATGAACAACCCAAAGCTCTGCTATTCGATGGGGCAAAACCCTCCTCCATCTCCCTATTTATTTTGTTTGTTTGTTTTGTAAAATTTATATACCACTTCATTGTGTGTGTGTGTGTGTGTGTGTGTGTGTGTGTACACATACATACCTCGAAGCGGTTTACAAGAAGGTAAAGCAATGTAGGTGTTATATGTCGACAAGGCCTTGCTCCTGTCAGCAATCACACTGCAGCATTCTGCACTAACTCCATCTTCCAGGTCAAGCACAAGGGAAGCCCCACATACAGTGCATGGCAGTAATCAAGTCTTGAAGCAACCAGGGCATGAACTATGGTAGCCAGGCTCTCTCGGTCCTGGAATGGCAGGAGTTAGTACCTCCTTTCTCTCCAAGCCCTGAATGCTCTTGGCTGCCTCTTTACAGCTGTTAGGAAGTCCTACAGTTCGTTCAACAGCAGAAAGACGGAAGGAATTGGTAGGGATGTGCCGGCAGTTCTCTATTAGGCTAGATGTATTTCTGTTCTGCATCATCTCTTCTATGCTCAGGCGACTGAGAAATTTTCTGATGCTAAAAAAGAGGAACAAAGTGGCCCCGCTCCAGCACCAGGAACATCCTGTGGCACCAGGTGAGCAAGTGACCCCCCCAGCGCCATTTTTGGAAGGGAAGGAATAGGCTAGGGTGGCAGCTCAGGGTATAGGATTTGTGGGAGAGGAGAAGCTAGTAATATATATATATATATATATCAAAAGAGCCAGACTGCTGGATCTGACCCAAGCCTCATCTGGTAACCCACCCCAGTGGCCAGCCAGTTTTGTGGGGTCTGATGAAGATGCTATTGACTGAGAGAGGAGAGGAAGCATTTCTAGTGGAAGCAGGAGGCAAAGGCAGCTGATAGGACAGGGCTGGGGGACAGTTGTCAACTAGAGGGAAACATTCTCTTGTGAGCCACATTCTGGGGGCTGCAGGCCAAGATTGGCCCCCAAAGACCTGGGGTTTGCCATCCCTGTAGTAGGAGTGCAGAAGCAGGGAAATCAAAGAGAAGATTCTTGGAATAATCTTGGAAACTGTTAAGGGACGAACCAACGTGTCTCCGTGTCCTTCTCTTGTTGCAGTTGTGCCACAGCTCTTCAAGGCTTTCCGGGAGCCTGACGTTAGTACCTGGGAAAACAAAAGAGTAGTGACTGGATCCCTCAGAGCCTCTGCCCACTGAGTGTGGCCTTTGTCCCCAATTCTGCAGTCTCTGAAGTGGAGAAGCCCTCACCTCACTATGAACTAACAGCCTGACTTTTGCCATTTCAGCCATTGGACCTTGAAAAGCTCTTCTTGGTCCAGATTATAGGGACTTGTATGGAGGCAACACAGAGGGGCTTCAAAACCACTGAGCTGCCGGACCATCTGGCTGCTGAAGGAATTCTGGTGAGTGAAAAGTTGTGTAAGTTACCCTTACAGTGGGAGGACCAGGGATGGGATTTGGGGAACGCGTTGTGGGACTGCCTGAGAGGAGAACTGTGCAGGCATAGGGCATGGAGTTTTCCATTCCTGCGGAAAGCAAAGCCTGGAGTTTGGGGTTGGAGCTATCCTGATGCCCGCAGAGCAATCTGACTTTTCTCCTCTGCTCTCTTTAAGGATATCCTGGGGCACCTGGACCAGTTTGAGGACTGCCCTGGGATCCTTGCCTTGGCCCTTGAAGCCTTCTTCCAGTTGAGGTGAATTGTGTTTCTTTTAATGGATGGGGGTTGTGGTGGTAGGGCAGAGTTCTAGGATAAGCTCAGTGTGGGGAATAGCAGTGGGAGGAGGGAGAATGGGGCAAGGGAGATTCGGAGGAGGCAGAGTCTAACACTCTTCCCTCCACCCCTCCAGTTTCATGAAGCTCGCAGGACCATCCTGCATTCTGTCTTTCAGGCAGTTGCAGATGAAGACGATGAAGAGGACCAGGAGGTAAGTTATTAGTCTTGAGTTCCCTTTATGCGGCTCTTCCTTTTTTCTTCACATATTAAAAAGGTAAAGGACTCATGACAGTTAAGTCCATTCGCAGACGACTCTGGGTTGTGGCACTTATCTCGCTTTACAGGCTGAGGGAGCAGGCGTTTGTCCGCAGACAGTTTTTCCAGGTCATGTAGCCAGCATGACTAAGCCACTTCTGGCGCAACAGAACACCGAAACCAGAGCAGCGCACAGAAACGCTGTTTACCTTCCCACCAGAGTGGTACCTATTTATCAACTTGCATTTTTTTGGAGTGCTTTCGAACTGCTAGGTTGGCAGGAGCTGGGACTGAACAATGGGAGCTCACCCCATTGTGGGGATTTGAACCGCCAACCTTCTGATCGGCAAGCCCAAGAGGCTCAGTGGTCTAGACCCCAGCGCCACCCACATCCCACACATTACAAGCCCTTAAAATCTCTTCTCTTTTCCCCCCTCCCTCTCTGAGGACCTGCTGGGATGAAAATGGGCATCACCCACAGGAGCTCAAGGGGCATCTCCAGTGCTTGCTGTGGGGCCTCCTCATTGAGGCCCCGTATGATGGCAATCTGGTCCTGCTGCTGTTTTTTGCAGATCAGATGCAAAAAGAACACCGGCAATTACATTCAAGTTTAAATGTATGCAAAATATGCACCGTAACTATTCACGGCAGTGAATTCACAGTTCATACCTACTGCTCTGAATGGACCCTTTGTTTCTTCAGTAAACATTGAAGCTTTTGCCTTTTCCATCTAAACTGTTTACATTCTTTTTTCTGCACTAGGCATGGGGAACATGTAGCAACCCAGATGTTGTGGGACTCCAACTCCCATCAGCCCTAGCCAGCATGTCCAATGATCAGGGATGATGGGAATTTGAGTCCAAAAGCATCTGGAGGTCCATATGTCCTTCACCCTTGCTCCATATTTACATAGTGACAATGTTTTATGAATCTTATATAGCGGGTTCCAGTCTGTGAAACCTTATGCTTTGCTATTCCTCTTAGTCTTTAGTTAGGAGCATAGGCAGCAGCTCCTCAGGATTTCAGATGAGGAGCATTCCCAGTCCTACCTGGAGATGCTGGGGATTGAACCTGGGACCTTCTGAATGCAAAACAGATGTTTTCGCGTGGAGTTTCGGTCCTTATTATAGAAGGCAGTTCATTATGCTTCGGTTAACTCTATTCCTTTCCAATACAAAGTTGTTTTTGTCTGCATTAAGTGTGGCAATGATATTATGTCAAATCTGGCATCGGAGGGTGGGGAGAGGTGCCTGCATTTTCTGGGTCACTTCCTGCTTTTCCAGTTGTGCGTTGCAATACTGAGTGGCAGCTTCCTTTCCAAACTTCCACTTATGTTGTTTATCTGCTTCTCCTTGGAGAAATTGTATTTCAGGCTGAAATTGGTCATGCTTGGATTCAACCAGAACTGATGTTCCATCTTTGAGAGAATCAAAAAGAAGAAGAGGAAATCCTCTGAGCTATATATTAGTTTGAAGACAAACTGTAAACTCAATGGAGATAGGAGAGCATGCAGGTGACTTGTGCAGCTGTATCATCCTGGGGGGGGGGGGGACTTAGCAAGTCAATGTCAGCAGGGTGACCCAACAAACATGGTAGAAGGGACAAGGAACAAACCAGGGCTTCCTGGGCTGCAGCTCAGAAATGCACAATTACTTAGGACTCATCCACACATGATTGAACGGTGTCTAGAAAGCACAAGTCCAAGCAATTGCCCCACCACTTTCAACCAGAAAACCCACTCTTTAGAACAAAACTGGAACAAACAGCAATCCATGGAAGATCCAATTGCCATTTCTTCCGATTCAGCTCGAAAACGTGGGTTTCCCTAGGGGAAAATGGGGCAAACAGATGTGTGGTTGAGCCCTTAGTCTAGTAGCTGCTGTGGGTTCTCCCGCTATTTATTACAAGTTTGCTCAAGGTCGAGTTGTTTCTGTATCATGGCTATAGTCGCCATGGCAAGGGAGAGTTGCAACAAAATGTTGCAGCATACCCTTCTTCTTAGGAAGTGTATTTCTTATAGGAAGCAAAAGAAGGTGCCTTCTATTGAATCCATAGGTGCTGGGTCCTGCCCCACTTTGTGGGTGCCCGGTGAAGGTCTGTGACATCACACAGGTGGTGCAAGTGTGATGTTACACGGCAGGAGGAGACCCGTTAGGGTGAGAAGGCACGACAAGGCCCATTGCGGCTGCAGGAAGGCCCAGTGGGCCCCATTGGGCCTTCCTGTGGTTGCAGCAGACCTTGTTAGGCCTTCCCACAGCCTTGTTGGGCCTTCCCGCAGCTGTGATGGACTTCGTTGGGCCTCCAGAAGATAAGGAGGCATGTGGTGGCAGAGGCGGAGCTAGGTGCTCTGGCACCCAGAGTGGCATGCACCCGGGGGCGGGGCTAATGGCCCATGGGGGCAGGGTGAGCGTCCCGGGGGGTGCCACACGCGGGGGGCAGCACAGCAATGTCAACCTCCTCAGGGAGGGCACCTGGGGCGGACCGCACCCACCGCACCCACCTTCCTCTGCCAGTGGTTGGTGGTAGTGCACGGAGCCACTCCAGGGCCTCCTAGAGTTGGCCGCACCTCTCCTCAACTGGGCAGTGCGGCTGGCTGGGCTGGGAGCAGTGGGCTCCCTTGGGGGTCTGCTCAGCAGGAGCATATGCTCCCCTGCTGGGCATGCTGACGTCGGGCACACACACACCCTGCAGCATGCACAGCACTGCCACAAAAAATTGTGGGTGCCCTGCCCCTTCATGGGGAATGTGTTGTGGGGGCTGAAGCACCCGAAAGCCCCACACACTCGGCACCTATGACTGAATCAGACCACTGGTCCATCTAGATCTGTACTGTTTACATAGAGAGGCAGCGGCTTGCCATGTTTCCAAGCAGTATTCCCTTCCAGCCCTACCTGGTGATGCCAGGAAGTGAACCTGGAACCTTCTGCATTCAAGACAGATGCTCTAGCACTGAGCTACAGCCCTTTCCCAGGGTTTTAGTGGGCCAATTTCTCCAAGCAGGGCATTCAATTCCCCCCTCTGCTTGGTTTTCATATCCCCCCCACCACACGACACTATTGGATGATGGGTCAATGGCCAGGCAGTGTGGTGAGCTAGATAGAGTGCTAAATTTTCAGCAGCTAGGAACTGATACTTAAATCCATTGATGGGGCCTTCCAATGAGACTGCATGTTGGAAGACTAGTTGCTAGGAATTGCTGGCTTCCCATGGGTATCTGGTTGGCCACTGTGAGAACAGTATGCTGGATGGAATGGGCCATTGGCCTGATCCATCAGGACTCTTATTATATTCTTAGTTGAACTGAGGAGACTCAGATTAAAATTCCTGGCTGCCTACAAAGCTCACAAAGCCACCTAATGCCTGTCACCATATCTCAACCTTAGTCCACCTCACAAGATACAAGGGGAAAACCCATGTGTGCTGTACTGAGGTTGCCTGCAAATTTCTGATCCTTTTTTTAAAGGTCTGCATCACATTGGCCCTACCTGCGTGTTACCAGTTCATACCTTACATTTACCTGTGTGCAGAGAGGATGCTTAAAAGAGAGTATTTGACAGAACCAATTGAATCAGTGGAATGGATGGAGGGGAGAGGGCTGGTTTGCAGACGGCCCATAAAATACGAACACAAACAACCCCCCAATGCCTCTCAATTCTCAAATCCCAAAAGGTCTAATTAGCAGAGTTTGGAAGGAAGCAGGCTGCCTCACAAATGAGTTGACTGGATGCTACCGTTAACACCTTCCAAGAGCCAATAATAACCCAGCGACTCATCGAGCATATTGCCATTCCCCAGACTCCAAAAGATGCTGCTTTTCCCAAAAAGCTGTAATTCACCCCAATCTCCCCACTGCCCCTTTGGAAGCAGTTGCATATCTCCAGACCCCTCTTGAGAAAGGCATCCCCTTCAGCCACCCAGGAGTCAGACTGCAACTATTAACTTCCTCTATGCACATCTGGCTAATGGGCTACCATTTGTCATTATTATTATTATTGCTAGCCCTATCATTACCTCTAAATCAAGGTCCCATCCAACTCTACAATTCTATGAAAACATGTCCTGAAATGATACACAAACCAAAATGCAGCCATCCTTTGAAATTTGCATATATAGAAATTTTGAGAGGAAGCTCTGCAGCCAAAAAATGTAGAAACATACATATATTGGTGAAAATAACATACAAAAAACAGTACAAAAATGCAATAAATGAGGGGATGTTGCTTTGCAAAAGTGCATATATAAATATGTAGATGCACCCAATTGCTGGTGAATTTTCATGAAGACCTTGTTTTTTAATTGCAAACTGATGCAGAAATGAACTTAAGACTGGAAAAAGGGGGAAAGAGATAAAAGCCAAAACTGAAATTTGTCCATTCCTAGACTCTGTCTTCCTTATTTTTCTACAGTTGCTGATCCATTTACTGCCCCTACCTATGAGGAAGGGCCATAGATTAGTGACAGAGTTTACCTTGCATGCAGAAGGTCCCAGGCTCAATCCCCAATGTCTCCAGGTAGGGTTGGGGAAAAACTCCTGCCCACCTGCAGATTTGTGTCTTGATTCTGGAGTATGTGTGTAAATATCATAAATGAATTGTGGGATGGGCAGCAGTTGCTTAATTCTGCAGGTTATTGAACAACAAAGCTGGAACTGAAAGAAGGATCCAGATCCAAATTAATTTATCCCGCTGTCTGTGCTTTTGTTTAATAGGAAAAAGGTATCAGCTGTCAATAATAGTACCCCCATGATAATTATTTATATCCACTTTGTCTCAAACATGTATTGCCAGTATATGCAAGAAGAAAGAATTGTCAGCAATCAGTATTTATAAAATTGAAGGAGCAGTTTTTGTTCTTCCCTACCCAGGATGCGGATCAATCCCTTAATCCCTTCAGTGTAAGAATACGTACAGCAATATTCCTCTTTACTTTGTTTAGATTTATTCATAATGATTCCTTTACGTTTACTAGTAATGGAGTTACAAAGAATGAACATAGTGGAAGCCAGAAAAATCTACATTAAACTAGTTTCCACCCCCCCCTCCACATCCTTGGAGTATATAAACAGCACCAGCTTAGCTCCCCTTAGACCTTATTATAAAATAAACAGAACTATATCCAACCTACAACATGCTTCTCTACATTTGCCTCTTGCACCACTTTGTCATTTCCTCCAGACCAAATAATCAGCAGATTCTGCAATTTATCCCAGATAATGCACTTTCAGCTTGTGAAATCAAGGCAACCGATGAAGATCTCAGATATGGATGCACCATAATTTTCATGACGATAACCCCAGGGTGTCGTGAATCCACCAGTGACCTTTGGTTGGTGTTCATGTTGCTTATCTTCTGGAAAATGTGCTGCCTGACTCTGCCCAAAGTTAAATAAATCCCCACCTTTGCTTCAAAATCATTTATAGCATGTGTTTGTCCCAACTGCTTCCCTGGCAGAATACTCTACAATCCAATGACGTCTGGAAGGACAAGCATATCCTATTATCTAGTCAAAGCCTCCTGGCACTTCAACAGAAAGGTATATCAACTCACAGCATATTTCCTGCAGCACAGACAAATGAATTCCTCCAAAGGAGCTTCAAATCAATTTGGGTACCAAAGGGACTCTGTGTCAACCATCTTTTTCATATGTGTCTCGCAGCCATCGGAGATGGCACGTGCCCAGAAGCCGGCTATTGTTTGCACATGCAGGTGTATTCATGTTGCCTATTTATTTATTTCAAAGCATGTCTAAACTGCTTCATATTTAAAACCTCTAAGAAGCATGCAAAAATACAGCATAAAAGCAACAATATAATAGCATAAAAACAGAATAACCACTTCGAGTTTTGTTTTGTTTTTTGTTTAGAAAAGCATACTTCTTAGAGATTTATTTATTGACTGTGTGTGGTACTGTGTATCAATCTTAGTAAATCAATCAATCAATCAATCTAAAAAACAGTATTATAAAAGCAAGCAAAAATAGGCATTTGGTCACAACAGGATCCAGTTATGGGTTAGGGAAAGTCTGGGTGAAAAGTTACAGTGTGTCTTTATGCTGCAACTGCTGCTGCTGCAACTGATGGATGGTGCTTCAGGCAAGTCAGAGGGAAGGGCCTTTCACAGTGCAGGGGCCATTGTAGAAAACACCTGTTTTCACATCACCACCCTATGACATTCTCCTGGATAGGGCCCTGTGAGTCAAATTTCTCCAGATGATCTTGCAAGGGCAGGCAGTCATTCAGATAAACTGGTTTCAAATTGGACATGCCTTTATATGTAGGTAACAAGACCATAGCCATAACTTTATTCTGCTCAATTATGTTTATACACTGGTTTTAGCAAGGACACGGGTGGCACTGTGGTCTAAACCACTGAGCCTCTTGGGCTTGCTGATCAGAAGGTCGGCGGTTCGCATCCCCGCGATGGGGTGAGCTCCCGTTGTTCGGTCCCTGCTCCTGCTAACCTAGCAGTTCGAAAGCACATCAAGTGCAAGTAGATAGATAGGTACTGCTCTGGGGGGAAGGTAAACGGTGTTTCCGTGCACTGCTCTGGTTTCGCCAGAAGTGGCTTAGTCATGCTGGCCACATGACCCGGAAAAACTGTGTGTGGACAAAACACCGGCTCCCTCAGCCAGCAAAGTGAGATGAGCACCGCAACCCCAGAGTCATTTGCGACTGGACTTCATTGTCAGGGGTCCATTACCTTTAGGGTCTCAACACAGAATACAATTAACAAAGTGCAATTATAGCAGGGGGTTTTCTGGGCCCTACCAGCTGACATATTCCAGGTTCCAGGCTCTTCACTCCAAAGACAGGGGAATGAAGGACCCAAAAGATGCCTGGCATATGTTGGCATCTGTCTGTCTTGAGAGGCAAGGAGGTGCACCTCCGGGGGTGAAGTCAAACTGTTGCATTAGCAGCAACAGCATGACCTCCTCAGGGTGCAAGCCTGGGCAGTGTGTTTGTAGGTCCTCAGCTGCCCAGGCAATAAAAACCCCACTCTCAGCCTTGCTAAAGTGGTCCAAGGGAAATCAGAGCAATACATTTGGCACCCGCTTGGCTGCAGGAGTTGCTGGAATGAGGCCATTACTGCCTCCTGTTGGAGTGAGTTCCATAGCTTAACTCTGCATTATGAGAAGAAATGCTTTATTTTGCCTGGCCTGAATCTTTCAACATTCAGCTTCAGTTCTAGACTTATGAGAGATGCAGAAAAACATTTCTCTATCTATTTCTCTTAACCCACCTTTTGGACACGATCCTATCCCTTTGCTACTGGGGCAAAATCAAAGAGTGGCTGGGGCAACCCAGCCAGATGGGTGGGGTATAAATAACAAAATCAATATTACATTTATGAAAGACTGCAAGGATTAAGAGCTCCTTGTAGATGCAAATGCTCCAATTGCCTCGTTCCTTGTTCACAGGGGAGTGTATCTGCAGCCCCATAATGCCTAATAGATGAATAGAATAGATGTTCCAGGTCCTCTCGGTTGATTTTTATTGAGCTGATGTGTATGAAATTACCTAGTCATGGGGAAAAGAGATTGCTCTTCCCCACCCTCTCCCCTGGGGCCCTTCTGAGATGTAATACCACACTCCATATATTGAAAAACCATTGTAATTTGATCAAAACTGTCGTCTCCATCCCATAATTTTCTCCCACCTAAACTAACCACGGTGGAACAACAACAACAAAATCTCAGCATCTTAAATTTGATCTGCATGGATGTGTTGGAATTGAATGTTGAAATATGAAAGGAGGAGAATGTGTGCTCACTGACAGCTTAGAGGGAGCCAGCATTTTTTGGTTTCTGTGTGCAAGACTGGCCCAGGACCATTTATTAAGCACTAATCGACTGAAATGGGCAAGCTTTCATATAATCTGTCCACATATTCAATAATAACAGTTGTGGAGAAGCTTGAACAGATTATATTTTTTGATAAACTTAGGACCAGAATAATGAGACCTGAGGGCATTCCCACAAGAGATGGAAAAAATGTCCCTTGGATGCTTTTTCAAAATAAACAAATAAATGAACAAATTGCAAGCTGATGTGGAAATCTGAATTTGATATTGGGGAAAAAACTGAGAAACTTAAAAAAACAAATCCCTAAATGGACCATTATACCTACCTCCTAGCGGCTTTCAAAGAAGCACATTTGTTTTGAAATCCTGGAGAGGCCTCGGGCACAGAGAGAGAGAGAGAGAGAGAGAGATTTATGTATTTTGTATTTTATTCTATTTTATTGTATTTTAGAGGAATGCGGGTGGCGCTGTCGGTTAAACCACAGAGCCTAGGGTTTGCCGATCAGAAGGTTGGCAGTTCGAATCCCCACGACGGGGTGAGCTTGCATTGCTCGGTCCCTGCTCCTGCCAACCTAGCATTTCGAAAGCACGTCAAAGTGCAAGTAGATAAATAGGTACCGCTCCGGTGGGAAGGTGAACAGCATTCCTTGCGCTGCTCTGGTTCATCAGAAGCAGCTTAGTCATGCTGGCCACATGACCCGGAAGCTGTACGCTGGCTCCCTCGGCCAATAAAGTGAGAAGAGCGCCACAACCCCAGAGTCAGCCAGACTGGATCTAATGGTCAGGGGTCCCTTTACCTTTACCTTACTGATCTTGCAGCCTGAGGCAAGTGGCTCAGCTTGGCTCATGACAGAGCTAGCCCTGACATTCTGTCACAATACCCTTTATGTAAAACAATCCCAGAAACTCAGGAGGGGGAAACAAAACTGTTTTGCAGCCAGTCAGAACCAGCCCAGAAATTGAGAGGAGAGAAGCCGGCTGGAGATCCGAGAACAGTTCCCTCACCTAAAACAAAGAAAATTTGTGTAAACAGAATAAATAAATAAACAAATGATGCATTTGTTTACAGTCCCATTAATTGACAGAACAGCTGCCATCCTGTGCAGGGCAGTCTCATTAAAGTCAGCAGACATAAGATCAATGTTTTTCTTTCCTTTTCCTGAGGAAGATTCTGATGACTATTAATGGGAAGAGGGCTTATTTTGCAAGCTCATCTGCTTCCCTTTTCTCCTTGCCTCTTAACATGCAACCAAAGGAACATAAAGGGACGTTCACCAAATTCCCAGGGGACTTAAGATCAAATATGCCAGGCGAATGGAAATCTTGCCAAATACTTTTAAAGAAGGCAGCTTCCTGTTTTCTTCCAATCACCTTCTAAACAAGCTGATATTGAAAGAGCCAGCTAAAATGAGAAGAGGCCTTTGGTAATAAACATAGTTCAAGTGGTTGACTCCTGTGGGAAAATCAGAAAGAGGGGCTGGAAACCCTCTTCCCCTCTTCCTTGTCGAAATGGTATAGATTGCAAAGATCTATTCTTTTACTGCTGAAAAAAAATACTCGCCTCCAATTTCCTTCTGCAAAATGTGATGTCAAATACCGTACTTTCCAGATATTCTAGGGGTATTTGCCTGATATTGTTTACAAATAGACTATCTGCCTAAGAATATAAGAACAGCCCTCTGAATCAGGTCAATGAGACAAAGGCCATGACAAGAGATAGTATCTCCAGCCTTTTCCAACTGCTGGAAACTGCTTGCTTTCCTGCTTATGGATTTCTCATAGGCATCCAGTTGGCCACTGTGAGAACAGGATGCTGGACTAGATGAGCCTTTCTCATGATATAGCACGTTGTTGTTGTTTAGTCGTGTCCGACTCTTCGTGACCCCCTGGACCAGAGCATGCCAGGCACTCCTGTCTTCCACTGCCTCCCGCAGTTTGGTCAAACTCATGCTGGTAGCTTCGAGAACACTATCTAACCATCTCGTCCTCTGTTGTCCCCTTCTCCTTGTGCCCTCCCTCTTTCCCAACATCAGGGTCTTTTCCAGGGAGTCTTCTCTTCTCATGAGGTAGCCAAAGTATTGGAGCCTCAGCTTCAGGATCTGTCCTTCCAGTGAGCACTCAGGGTTGATTTCCTTCAGAATGGATAGGTTTGATCTTCTTGCAGTCTATGGGACTCTCAAGAGTCTCCTCCAGCACCATAATTCAAAAACGCTATAGCACAGCTACCCTTATTCTCCACAAATTTGACTAATCTCCCTTGAAAGCCATTCGAGTTGGTGACCATTACTGTACTTTGTGGGGACAAATGCCTTAGTTTAACCACGTGCTACTATGTGAATTCTTTTCTCCGTCCTAAATCTTTTATTGTTCAGTTTCACTGGAAGACTCCAAGTTCTAATATTAAGAAAGAGGGAGGAAAACCTCTCTCTCTTCACACCATGCATAATTTAATGTACATCTATCATGTTTTCCACCTTACACAAGTTTTTTTTTTTACTATCCTGGAAAGGCTCAAACGTTGCAACCAAATCCTGTAAAGCTTTAAAAGACAATTAGACAGATTCAGGAAAGTTTAAGATAAGTACAATAACCAGTGCTTTTTAAAAAAATGTTTAGGGGTACCCTCATTTTCCTACTTATAATGAAATACTACCCCTCAATGAGGCCAAACTTAGATTCACAAAATGTGTAGGGGTATGCGTCCCCCTGTGTCCCCCCAGAAAAAAACCCACTGACAATAACAGTCTTTCATCTTTCTTCTTTTTTAAACGAGTGTATAACAATTGTTCCCCCCCCATGTCTTATTTTACCTTCTGGATTTATTTTGCACTGTGTACAAATATATTCTTTATTTTTCAATAAAGAATGTGTGTGTGTTCTATCTATCTATCTATCTAATCTATCCAGTGCTTTTTTCTGGGGGGATGCAGGGGTACATATACCCCTAAACATTTTGTGAATCTTTGTACTTTTGTCCATTTACTATATTTATTTTCCCCCTATTTGAACTATAAAATGGTGATTTTCTTGAGTCAAAATGAGAATACCCCTAAACATTTTTTTAGAAAAAAGCACTCTATCTGTCTATCTATTTATCTACCTACCTGTATCGTGTGTGTGTGTGTGTGTGTGTGTGTGTGTATTCATGAAATAGCAAGCTAGGCACAGCATAGTACCTGAGTGTTCATATATATACATTTACCTAAATGTACACCAGAGAAGCATGTACACACACACATACACACAGGCCCAATCTGCACTATACATTTAAGGCATAATAATAACACTTTAAACAGCCATAACCTCTCCCAAGTAATCCTGGGAACTGTATGAACTTTGTTAAGGGAGCTGGGAGGTGTTAGACACACACCCCATTCCACTCATCTTTAAATACCAGTGCTTTAACAGTCAATCCCTCTTCCCAGCACCCTTAAGAAACTAAATTTCACAGGATTCTTTGGTTGAAGCCATGACTGTTTAAAGTGGTATTTTAATATATAGCACAGATGTGGCCTGATATTCTTAAGAAGATAACCCTTTGGGAGGAACAGGTGCAACTTGAGTTTAAAGCAATTTATCCAGAATCAAAAAGTCTCCAGTTTTCTCCTGCTTAAACATTCTTCACTTTCTCAATCAGAGACACAACAAAGCTTAAGTTCTGTGTGCATGCACAACCACACCACAGCCTTCTGTTACTACAATCAGAACATATTGTGAAAATTAAGCAAATATGCCTGTGTACATGAGAATTGAGAGTGGCTGGGAGCTGCCATGAGCTCACCTCAGCTGTTCAGAGGGTTGTGGACGGAGCCTCTGTTGTTAAAATGGCTAATTATGAATTAAGAATTGCAAACATAATTCTCAAGACATGTTCATCTGCATGATAATTAAATTGTCCAAATTCATTTCAATGTTGTTTTTGGACTGCGTTTATTTTTTACTAGATAGAGAGACAGAGAAAAGGATAGAGGAATGTACAGAGTGGGATTATTTTGGTGTGTTTTTTTAAACCAAGGTATAGGGTACAGTGGTACCTTGGGCTAAGAACTTAATTCGTTCTGGAGGTCCGTTCTTAACCTGAAAGTGTTCCTAACCTGAAGCACCACTTTAGCTTATGGGCCTCCCGCTGCTGCCGCGCTGCTGCTGTGTGATTTCTGTTCTCATCCTGAAGCAAAGTTCTTAACCCGAGGTACTATTTCTGGGTTAGCCGAGTCTGTAACCTGAAGCGTATGTAGCCTGAAGTGTATGTAACCCGAGGTACCACTGTACTTGAGTTCACCATATTTACTCCCATTACAGAAATCTGACATTTTGACCCAGGGATTTTTGGTGTGTGTGTGTGTGTGTGGAAGGGAAGAGAGGATGGAGGAAAAACGTTGGAGTGGACTTGTGAAAGAGGACAGTGTCCCGAATGCCATTAAGAAAGGAGGGCCTAATAGTCAGGGGTGGAGAAAGGGGGGTGCTGTGGGGGCGGTCTGTCCCAGGTGTCACCACTGAGGGGGGTGACAAAATGCTGGGCAGCGCTCACCACGGGTCCTGCAGTGCACCTGAGCCACGCGTCTCTCCTGGGAGTGACGTGGTGGCTTAGGCACCCACAGGCTCCACCCTGCCACAAACAGTCCGCCCACCGCCTCCACCTCAGCTGTAGGGCAGCTGAGTGGGAGGAGGCAGGCGGACCCCTTGGAGGCCCCATGGAGTGTCCTGCTCCGGCTCACCCCACCCTGTGGTTGGCTGGCCCCACCCCCACGGGTGGATGGCCCTGCCCCTGGCTTGCTCCACTGCTACTAATAGCCATACTATCTCTCCCCCCTCCTGCTTTGAGTGTTTGCTTAATCGGTGATGATGGAAGTTGGAGCCCAACAACACCTGTAGGGTACCACCTTATCTGCCCCTGATGTAGAATCATTACCAGGACACTGTGCAGGGGGGGAATGGTGTATTCCATGGGCTGCCCATAGTGCTTCAGTAATGAGATCACACAGTGATGCTCTCAAGAGTTTTAGTGGCTCTGTTTCTCAAGCACCTCAGAAGTTGTCCTGCTGACCACCCTGTGACTGAGCCTTACTTTCATTATAAAAGCTCTAGCAGACAGTACTCAGTGCTGCTTGGGGGTGCTAAGAAACCAAAACATATTGAGATTTATAAATGGAAAAAAACCCAAGTTTTTTATTTCTTAATTTCCCTTCTAATGCTATTAAGTAAAGTGCAATGTACAATCCTGCCAGTGCAGTTTGGAAAGGTTCAGCCTGCCATCTTAATTCAACATGGAATCCAATGGTATCCAAACATAGACCAAAACTTGCCTGATTTTGGGAATTGCCATGCTAAATCTGGTGATGATCCTTAAGACGTGTTTGAATGTATATGGAGCAGACAGACGTCTTTCCAAAATTTATAGAAGAGAGAGAGGGGGCAAACTGTCCCTCAAACCAGTTCACACAAGGGTCAGTAACTGAGGTGGGCATCCTCATCCAATCTTACATAATTTTCCTGTCCCTCCCATTCACCCAAATGCCCTAGAATTCCCGCCCCTTCCATTCTGTACAAAGCTCTGACACAATACAAGTGGGCAGGGAAGGTTCCTACAGAGCTGAGCTAACAATGGGTTTGCCCTCTGAACCTCATGGCATTTTATATAATCCGTATTGGAATAGCTCTCCACAAAGGACTGGGTCCACATTCAGCTGAGGCAGAGCAAGGATAATGAATCTGGACAATTTAATTTGTATGCAGATGAAGGTGTCATGAGGGTTACTTCTGTAGTGCTTAATGAGTAATTAGCAGATTGAATGGGAAAGACACACCTCTGTAACCTTCTGTGTGACTCAGGCAAGGATTCAGCACATACCAGTCACTCCCAATTCCAAACAACCTGCCCACTGCTGCCACTGGCCCTCCCCTAAAAGACAATTTGTATTCGTCACTTGCTTTGGCATCGATGTCTTATCAGTCGTAATCTCCTCTTCACTCCATCTTGCTCTGGGCAGCATTTCATTAGCCTGTTGTCATGCAGGGTGTGGACAGGGGCAGCCTGTCCCATTTTAGTGCCTGAGGCAAGCCAGGAAGTTGTTGCTCCCCTCACAGAAGCCTCACATATTGAGGTTGTGTGGCAGCAGCTTCTAGTATGTTCTCACTGGAGGGCATCTCCATGCAACCCCAGCGGAAATGGCGGAGTCATTGGGGTGCCCATGGAGGTGCCACCCCATGGGATTCCAGCATCCAAGGTGGCTGCTTCAGTCTATCTAATGGGCTGACTGGCCCTGGGTGGGGAGATAACCTGAGTCAAAGCCTTTCTCTTGTTGTCACAGCTAAAAGCAGATAAAAAAATGAAAGCATCAGCATTGGGGCAGTGATGTCCCAGTCACTTGGGCATTTTCATTTTCAAAAAGTTTCTCTAATTACATGCAAAGTTGCCATAAAACACTCAGAAAGACTCAGACACAGAGTTATGGAAGATAGCTTCTATTTATGAAAGTATAACAGCGAGGAACTGCAAAATAAGTAATGCAAAGTAACAAAATCAAAACATAGACTGGGCTGGGAAGGTACTTGATACAGAAGGGATTCTGTATTAGGGCAGGTTTATAGGTATTGCCAAAGCAGAGACATCACCTTGCCAACAAAGGTCCGTATAGTTAAGGCTATGGTTTTCCCAGCAGTGATGTATGGAAGTGAGAGCTGGACCATAAAGAAGGCTGATCTCTGAAGAATTGATGCTTTTGAATTATGGTGCTGGAGGAGACACTTGAGAGTCCCGTGGACTGCAAGAATATCACACCTATCCATTCTGAAGGAAATCAGCCTTGGGTGCTCTCTGGAAGGACAAATCCTGAAGCTGAGGCTCCAATACTTTGGTCACCTCATGAGAAGAGAAGACTCCCTGGAAAAGACCCTGATGTTGGGAAAGATTGAGGGTACAAGGAGAAGGGGGTTGACAGAGGGTGAGATGGCTGGACAGTGTTCTCGAGGCTACCAGCATGAGTTTGACCAAACTGCGGGAGGCAGTGGAAGACAGGAGTGCCTGGCGTGCTCTGGTCCATGGGGTCACGAAGAGTCAGACATGACTAAATGACTAAACAACAAAATGGCCCCAAAGACAAGGATCGGGCTGAGAACTTCATTGCAAAATTTGGAGAAGTGCAAACTCCGAAGAACTGAACTTTGATCTGCACATCAAGAGGCATGGAATGGTTTAGTCCCTGGGCAGGCCATGTTGAAATTTAAGATGAATGAATTCAGGGGTGTTGGGTTGCTCAAAGCACTCTTTCGCCATACAGCTTGGAGCAGTTTTCCTCTAATCCTCCAATGCTGTGGTTTTGCTGTTTTGTTTGTATTGATTTATGGCATTTTACTGTATTCTGCTTTAGCATGTGGTTCACCATCTGGGGGGCCTCCGGGCTGAAAAGTGGTATATAAATCATCCTCATCTTCCCTACTTATACCATATAGAGATACTCCCTGCTACGCAGCATGGATGTATTGGAATTGTCTGGAATGAGGAACTGAGGTTGACTTGAAGAGGGTTTTTTTTCCTTCTTCACTCTCTCAACACATCAAATGAGCTAGAGATGTGAGGGTATTTCCTTTCCCCTCTAGCATGTGGCTGCATGCATTGCACATTTAGATATTTTGACTGAGCACTCAAAATTTGCATGAAAGACAAAATTTGCATGAAAGACAAAGGGCTCATCGGATACAGTTTGTGTCACTTCAAGCCAACTGTGGCTGTGCCAGCCAGGCTGATATAAAGGTAACCCTTTGTAAGGAGATACTGTATGGAGGGAAATGTAAATTGTGTCTGTTATTATTATTACTATCTCTCTTGTGAGTTTTATTTATTTGCTTTCCCTTGATTTATGGACCACACAAATCTGCTCATACTCCAGGCTCAGGGAATTGGCCAATTATTTAACATGACAAACTAAATATGGTTTAATCAGCTCCCTGCATCTATCACACAGATGCTCATAACTATTCATACACCTCATTCATCACTGGATCTCGTAGCCAAGCTACGCAATCTGCAGGCTTCTGTGATGCATCTGTTGCTGGACTTTATCACCTGAGATGGCAAGTGTGGGTATCAATGTTTTGAATGATCTTCCTTAAAGAAAGCTACTGCCCATGGCTAGGCTAGATCTTGTCACCTCGACAGGGCAATTCTGTTACTAATTGTTACTATTTTATTTTTTAAAAAATGGGAAAGAAGTCAAACATTTTATTTTCCCCTCCTTGGATGAAATGCCACATTCCAGGAATGGCTACAGCACACTGATCTTCTGCTTCCTTATTTCAGGTCTGCCTTCTTCCATATATCTTGTTGTTGTTCCATCTTTTCTGCTACTAAGACATCCTAAAATTCTTAAAGAACCAATACAATTAAAAAACACAATAAAATGGCAAAACAACATTTAATATCATGAAATAGCAGCAATAAGATGACAAAGTTAACATCAAAGCAAACTTTAAAAGCAGCAGGTCACTAGTCATTAAAAGTGCACATTGAAAAACGAAGAGAGAAGAAGCCTGGTAGATCTTTATAGAGAAAGCATTTGAGAGTTTTGGTGTCACCAGTGAGAAGGCCAGATTTCTACTACTTGTCTTTCCTCACAATATAATGGGACAGAGCAAGGCCTTTGAAACCAGTATTACAATATGAACAGAGTCACGTGGGAGAATGCAGTTCTTGAAGTACTACGATCTCAGACTATTATGAGCTTTCAAGGTTAATGCTAGCACTTTTTGAAATGAGCTGAGAAAGAGATAACTTGTGTAGCTAGGAAAGATTAGAGTGATATCTTCCAATTGCTGGACCTAGGACAACAATCTGATGGCAGCATTTATATCTAAACCCGCCAAAATCCTCTTCAAACACAGAACAGAAGGGTGTCTGCATTGGCCTCTGTGATGGCATAGACTGTAGCCTGTACTGTGTGAGGGAAGGAAACCAGCAAACCAACAAAACCAACTCCTCTATCCCACACTAACTCTTCAAATTTCTGACTTCACAAGCTGCTGATGTGTTTAATTCTGCAGCTAACTACCCTATTTTCCAACTCAGCTTATATACAGTATTTTTACTCCCCTTCTCAGACAGAAATAAAATAGATTGCGATTTCCCCTAGCTGAACTATTGACCCTCCTGTATAGACCTTCCTGTGCAAAATGTCCCCTTAAATCTTTTAACCTTCCTTTTGACCCTCCCGTGCAAGACAGCCATTAAACCAAAAAACAGCAATTTTACAATCCAACTTTTACAGCCCCAAACAAAACACAAATTGGTGGAGAGTCTTATTCTTTCCCTGGCCATGTGATTGGTGGGCATGGTGATGCTTCTGGACTGGCTAGGCCAAGCATATGACTTAGGATCCTCTCCTGGTCATAAACAGAACAGGAGCTCCTGTTTGAATTCCAGGCTCAAATTCCAAGTTCATGTGCCTGAAATTTACTGCAGGGACCTGGAGCCAAAAATACATATTCCCATAATATTCTGTGGCTATAATTACATTTGCATTTTTCTCCCATATAATGAGAAAAAAATGGGCATGCACACATATTTTTAAGAAAAGAGAGTGAAAGCCATCTTAATAACTGGATCTAAATCTGTCCAGATCACGCAAAAGGGAAATGAAGGATCTATAAAAGAGCTTTTGTTCTAATATTATCTGGTAAACTGATAGCAAGATGATAGTCTTGCTACAAACAACAATTTAGATTTGAAGGTAGTAGCTACCTGAAAGCTCTGAGCTGCAAGGTCTGCAGAGTGCTGCTCAGCCATTTTCTGCCTTTGATCAAAATCCCTTTCATCTGAAGGTCTCTGAGCCCTTTAGTTAAGCATCACAGCTCTTCCTCTTAGTGAGAGGGAGAAGAAAACACTCACCCTGTTTCATCGACGGGCAAACTGGTAGGTGGATGCAGATGGTGATTTGCCAAATAGCAATTTATCATGTGGTTCATTAGGGCAAATGGGGAGCTGGCCCAACAACCCAAGACTGCCTTCAGCCAGCTCCCACCTACCTTCTTCTGTACAACTCGATTAGGGGTTGGCCCTGGCTGTCAGCTTTTTCCTCCTTAATCTTACTGAAATCAGCAGGGAGAAGGATGGGGACAAAACCAGGGTTTGTTGGCTCCACTCAACATTGCCCTTTCTCCAACCTGTCATGGACTCTGGTGGTACCTGCTGTTGGCCTCCTTGCCTTTTGCCTTTCCGGTGTGGCCTAGCCACCACTGGTTGTACATGTAACGGCTTGGAAAGTGGGTTGTCGGAGCTCACAGAAAACCTATGAGCTCAGACAATCCTGGGCTCTGCAGGTGAGCTCAGTTGTCTGTATCACACTTCCAAGTGGCTTTTATTTTTTACTTTTTATTTTTTTAAAAACCACATGGCAGGTGCAGCTGCATGGCAAACTATGTGTCAAAACAGTAATCTATGCAGGCTCCGTGTACTATTCTGCCAAGTGTTGATTTTTTTTTTTACGAGACATCTGCCTAAAGAGCTTTACCATACATCCGGGGCAAATGTGTGCAAAAATGATTACCTGTATGGGTTCTCTATCACCCTTCCAAGCAAGAAGGGACATTTTCCCACACTTTGGGGGCAGTAAATTTGTAGTGAAATAGTCATCAGCATCCACCAGAGTGGCCTAGCAATTGCAGTTGTGACTAGGGATGCAAGAGAATTCTGATGGAAACAATGTTTGTTTATTCATCCCATGACAAGAACAGAAATCAATCCAGTAAATATGATTAGTATTTGCTGTTGCTGTTGCTTTCGGTCCACAAACAACACATAATAATTATGTTTTTCTCCATTTGTATTGCATTGCCTTTGCATTAAAATTAATGCGGTGGAATAATGTGATGGCAATGTGATATACGTAATTAATTACATAATTAATTTATGTAAATCATTGCATAAATTGTGCAAGTTATGTGATTTCACAGGGGACAGTGAGATGAATGGCAGAGGTTTTTTGGCAGAAGATGAACTGCAGTGGAGCAGAAACAGTGCTGCATGTGAGGAATACTGGGCAGAGAATAAAACAACTTTCCTTGTTCTGACCCCTATTCTTTCTTTTCAATAGACCTAACAGGGTCACAGTTTATATTAGGGCAAGGAAACCTGACGTCCTCCAGACTTTGTTGGACTCCCTATTTCATCAGCCCCAGCCAGCACGGCCAATGGTCAGGGCTTGTGAGATTTGTAGTCCAGCAGTAAAATAAAATAAAATCTGGAGGACTAAGGTTTCCCCAGTCCTGGTGTATGTTCTGTGAAACCTTTAACCTCAGCTGCTTATAGGTCTAAGCTAGGGATGGAGGCCTTGTTCCTGTCCTCCAGATGTTGATGAACTCCAATGTCCGTCAACCCCAGCCAGCATGGTCAATGTTCAGGGATTATGGGAGTTGTAGTTCAACATCTGGAGGGTCACAGATTCCCCATCCCTGGCCTAGCTATCAAAAGGCACAAAATGGATTGTGGAGAAACATCTCTCTCTGTGTGTCTCTCTGTTTCTTTTGTTCCTTCATGCCATCATTTTGCTCTGCTGACTCATATCAAGACTGCCAACTTCCCATGCCACCTCTTCACCTTATATCCCAACAGGACAAATGACTTGTTTGATCTGAACAGCAACCAGCTTTGTAAGGGAGAGGGAGAGCGCTGTTGTCAAGAGTGCTAGTGATGTCATGGGTTTCTAAGCAACAGCCATTTAGCTCTGCATAACATTCTGGGTGAGAAGGCAGATTAAAGTCTGTGGCTAGACATCCATTTTGCCGAGCAAGAAAGAAGAAGTTTGGCTGTTGTTGCTCTGCTGAGTCAGGAACATACTCTCTTTCCTCTGCTACCCTGCCTCATTCCGCTTCACAGCTCATGAAGCAGTTGCTATAGAAATTCTACCATAGTCTTTGTATTTGGAATCTGTTTGGCTCTCACTAGAATGCTAGAAAATAAAAAAAATTATGGGGCCAAAAAACCCTGCACTGAATACAGTCTGCTATGAATGTGGCCTGTTTGGGCAATGTGACAGGTCTTGTGCAACTAGTTCCTTGTGATGCTTTAATTTTATCCTGATCTCAGCACAGACCTTTCATGAGTGCAATTGTTGTGAGCGCAGTTCCTGCATGACTTTGAAAAACAGAGCTGATGATAACTGTGGTACTGCACTCACATGTAATGCTAAGGTTCAGTGGGAATGCTCTAAAGTGTAGCATCCCAGAGAGAAGATCACTAGCTTGTTCTTGGATATAGTTTATGCTTAAGGAGAAGAGGACTTACCTGTGAGTCCAGGTTCAGATGGCATGCTAAGCCAGCCTTTGCCATACTGGTATGCTTCAGATGTCAACTGATAGGAGTTGGAATCCAAAACTTTTGGAGAACACCAGATCTGTTAGGGCTGCACTAAGACAACCTTTGGTTTAGCTGTTGTCCCACACTGAAATAAAAGGATTGAGGTGGGTCAAAGCAGATGTGAGCTCTTCTCCATGAGCCAGCCCATTCATGTGATCCTGGTAAACCATAGTTTGACTCACCACAGTCTAACCATGGCATATAAACCCAGCCAGTGTGTCTATGTTCCAAGTGAGGTAGGTGGGTGAGAAAACAAGTATCCCAAGAGCAGTAGATGGATGTGTATATTTGTTAAATCCACAAAATGTGCTATGGCCTATTTCTAGGGATAGATTTTCTCTGGGGATCATTCCTGAAAAATATGATAATATGAACTAATGGAAGGAGGGCACATATCATCACATATACTGAATCAGATCATTGGTCCGTTCAGCTCGGTATTGTCTCTACGTTGACTACAAGTAGCTCTCTGGGGTTTGGAGTGGGGACACTGTCAGCAGAATCAGAATGGGCAGGGGATTGGACATGGGACAACTCTGAGCTACAGGCTTGATGAAAGGAGTTGAAAAGATACTGTATATAGGAAGTGCAGTGTAAGTGATGGAAGTCAGTCAATGGAATTTTATTATTATTTTCATATTGAGATATTTGTAGAATAAATTTGGAAGAAACTCTTCCAACTTTTCTTCTTCTTTTTATTTTTTCTTCTTTTTTATTTTCTTCTTTTTTTCTCTTTTGTTCTTTTTTTTTATATATGTGTGCTTATCTGAAATATATATGTATATATGTATTTGCAATATTTTGCTTCTATTTTGTAATAATTATGTTAAATAAATTAAATTTTAAAAAATTAAAAGAAAAGAAAAAAGATACTGGAGGCCCTGTTCCTGTGACCATCAACTTGATTATTTCTAATGGCAGGTCAGAAAGTGAAGCCTCATAGGCAGATCTTAAGGCAGCAGCCGGTTCATAAGGCCATAAGAGGTCCTTCAAATAACCAAGTCCCAAATATTTTAGGGCTTTAGTTGGGAGGTAGAAAAGGATGAAAGTGAGAACCAGTTATCTACTGTGACAATAAGTCACCTAAGTGTTTGCTGCTTTCCAGTTGACTCAATATATTGTTGGCAGTGCCTTCAGTGATCTCCATTACACATACAGTTCTGTAATGCCTTACCCACAGGCATTGTTAGGTGAGTACTGATAAAACAAATGGAATCCCAGTTTATTTTACTACTGCTCCAAGTTTACTTCAAAGCCTTGGCATGGGATATTTGTGCTGCCCTAGCAATCCTCACTCCCCAGTGCCTGTATTCATATTACAACATGTTTCCCCCCACAATAGTTATCATCTGGAAGTCAGGATCTAAGGCCCCTTCAAGAAACTGAATTGTGGCTTAAATTGATAGCTCCTAGAGCTCTGCGTCAAGACAACGCCAGGGAGGAGAAAATAAACAAACAGAAAACCCCAACGTCAGCATGCCAGCCATGTGCATGAGACCTCTGCACTGCTGGAACCTGGAGATGGTGAATTGCACTCATCAGGCAGGTGTAGAAAAGGGCCATTTTCAATGCAGGGGGGCTCTGCTTTGTTTTCTTCCCAGAGCTCTCATTTTCAAGCCAGAGACCATTTTGCTGCCTAAACAAACATGCTAAAAGAAAGCCTCTCTTGAAGGAGGACACTCACAGTGAAAGCAGTCACCGCCTTCCCAAAACCTTGCAAAATAAGAAGTTTGGAAGAAAGTCGGGATTGAGTTTTCTGAAAGTCACTGCAGGCACAGGAACTAATTTTGGACACCCAGTTGTGACCTGCATACTCCAAGCCTACAACTCAGTGTCAAGACTCAACCTTGGGCAGCTGGAAGAAGAGAATTGAGGGACAGAGCTGTGAGTCACAATGATGAAGTATGCCAGAATATGCTAGAGCTAGGATGGATGCTGTTGCTCATGAAAACATGCAGCCTAAACAAGAATCCCTTCCAATGCAGAAGGGACACATGGCCAGTCTATGTGGGTAGAACCAGCCCAGACTCTGAGAATTTAAGCTTATAAGAAGCTGGTATTCAGAAGCTCATCTTCAGCTCGATATCCACATACCCTTCTGAACAAACATCTAGGAGCCATATGCCAATGGTGGGCAGAGCCAGAAAGAAAAATGGGTGGCACAACAAATATAAATGTTGCCTTTTTACAGAAGGCTACTTTCATACCTTTCAACATTTCTCCGAGGATGATGATAATAAGAATAAGAATAAGAATAAGAATAAGAATAAGAATAAGAATAAGAATAAGAATAAGAATTCATACGCTGCCTATTTGCCCTAACCACTCCCAACAGAATTTAAAACATAATAAAACAATAAACATTTAAAAACTTCCCTATACAGGGCTGCCTTCAGATGTCTTCTAAAGGTTGTATAGTTACATATCTCTGCATAACTTCATACGCTCCAACATTTCTCTGATGAAAAAGGGACATCCTAAGAAAAAGTGGGACATTCTTGGATCAAATCAGAAACTGGGACGGCTTCTGTAAATCCAGGACTGTCCCTGGAAAATAGGGACACTTGGAGGGTCTGTACTTTCTGCACACACACACTCATCTCTCCTTCATTCAGGTGAGCAAGAGATCAAGGACACATTTGGCCAGACAAAAATGTTCAAGGGGTGTGTAAATCATGGATGGTGAGAGGGGCAGCTTGTGGAGAGGAGGAAGTTGCTGAGGAGGGGAGGTGACCATGGGAAAGTCATACAAAATCCATACAGAGAGGACCGGAGAGCCACATTTGACTCCCAGGGCTGAGGTTTCCCACTCCTGATTTCCCCTAACAATGAATGAATTTATGTTTTCTTAAGTGCCGGCATTTGGGAAGGGGGGCACATGAGTCAAATGTAAATGCTCCATTTTGCTATTGTCCTCTTGATCCAGCCTTACATTTTTAGGTAGAAGAGAAAACTCTGTTCCTCATAACATCTGAGCTACCGGTTGTTGCTGTTGTTTTCCCCTAAGTTAGTAATGCAAATATGTCATTGTTTCATGACTCAGCAGCCAATGTTCTGCCCAAAATTTTAAGGATGCTGAGAAAAATGCTTTGGAAGAAATTCCTAGCCTTCCTTATAACAGCTACAATTCTCAGAATGCCTTGGTGAGGGAATAATTACAAAAGCATTTGAAGCCTGTAGTGTAGATATGCTCCTTAAGGCTCCTTCATATGCCATGTGCAAATAGCCCTTCAAGACCTCTGTGGTTATTTGAAGATATAAATGCAACCACAAGTAATGCTCATGCAAAATTAATAATAATAATAATAATAATAATAATAATAATAATAATACATTGCTTTTTACAATCTAATTTGTATACCAGGGGTCAGCAAACTTTTTCAGCAGGGAGCCAATCCATTGTCCCTCAGACCTTTTGGGGGGCCAGACTATATTTTGAAAAAAATAATGAACAAATTCCTATGCCCCACAAATAACCCAGAGATGAATTTTAAATAAAAGGACACATTCTACTCATGTTAAAATATGCTGATTTCCAGACCATCCACAGGCCGGATTTAGAAGGCGATTGGATCTGGCCCCCAGGGCTTAGTTTGCCTATCCATGGCTGTGAATTTCTATTACAGAGCTCTCATGGAATCTCTTTGCTTCCCTGTTACTGAAACCAGAAATAGGACCATTGTGGCTACATTCACATGACAGTTAATTCCATTCCCTGACATTTCCTCAGCTGTTCATTTCCATATTCTATATGAGCTTCCACATGATCTAAAAGCAACTTCTGGAAAACTAATGGAATATAGCACATGCTTAGCACTCATTCCCATGTTATTTGATTCCGGAATTCATTCATTTATTTATTTATTTATTTATTTATTTATTGCAGCCACTTAACCTGGAAAATGGTTAAAGTGGCAAAATATGGGGCAGAATACCAGCATAAAATTCTTTCCTGCCATTTTCAAGGGGGCAGAAAAGCATGCAGGCACAGAAAGGTTGGGGAATAGCAAAATTATCCAAATATATTCATTGCTGCACCATGCCATGCCCACTGGGGTGCATGAAATTTAGTGTGACATACCCATGTATCAGTCAAAAAGCCACCGTTTCATAATGCAGCAGGTACTGCCATGTGGAAGTAACAACAGACTGTAGGACAGAAGTGCCAGCATTATAATCAGGAAAATGAACACAATAGTCCCCATGTCTGAATGCAGCCTCTGTGTATCAACAGTTATGGTGGCCACTTATGCATTGCTCCCAAATTCATTTCCAAAAAAGAGAACATCAGTTTACATACCAGTTGCCTATGTTAGCTTCTAGACAGAGATGCAGATCTAGAAATAAAAGCTCGTGACAATCTCCCTTAACAGGGCTTGGTTTCTCTAAGTTTTTAGTATATGTGCTGCCAAAGCGAGCACCTTTCTTTGAGTTTTTGATTGGACTGTTAGGTTTCCTGCACAGAGTTGTTGCCTCTGTGGATCAGTTTTGTGAACATTCATTAAAGATGGCCCCAGTTCGCTTATTTGCACCTGGTCTCCTTAACTGGCTGTTAGTTGCTCACAATGCAAAGCAAAATCACACACACACTTAGGGAACATGGGAAGCTGCCACCTACTGAGTCCAACCATTGTCCATCCTGCTTAGTATTATTTCCCAAGGAAACCCATAAACTGGAACCAGCACTGCTGAAGTATAGGATCAAAGTGAGTAAAAGCTCTCTCTCTCTCTCTCTCTCTCTCTCTCTCTCTCTGTGTGTGTGTGTGTGTGTGTGTGTGTGTAATTAAGAAACTGTCACTTATCACTTAAATGCCAAGACAGTCTTATATTCTGCCCAAGGAGCAAAGAAATGTTGGAAGAACAGAAAGTTGTTTGCTTTTCTTTCTTTCTTTTTTTCATAGCATGAAAAGTGCAGAACAAAAGAATCCAGATTGTCACATCTGACAGCGCACTGTCAGCAGCAGCAATGCTTCTGAATACCAGTTGCTGGAAACAACAGGAGGGGAGAGTGCTGTTAAGCTCAGGTCCTGCTTTTGGACATCCCATAGGCATTGGGGGGAGGGGCACTGTGACAACAGGATGCTAGTCTAGATGGGCTAGTGGCCTGATCCAACAGAGCTATTCTTAGGGATCAGCTGCCATTATGACAAGCTGCAGAAGAAGAGTCGATGCTGGCATCAGAGAAAGGTGATGAGGCACAACTAGCCACATCAGAGGAGCAAAGAACCTGTAAGCTTCAGACTTTCCAATCATACTGAAAGCTTTGACATATGTCTTGCTGTCATCTTGATGAATGTGTTTTTCCCTGATTCCCCAGAAATGTTTGCTGCTATTCACACTGCCTCTCTGAATTTCTGGGGCTCATACTTCCATGGCAGTAGGGCAGCCATCCTCTCTCTTGCCATGCCAGTTTGATCAGAAACTTGAAAGCTTGTGGAATAAAGGAAGCTGCCTTACACTGAGACAGAGTGCTGGTCCATCTGGCTCAGGAGACACTGTCTTCATTGACTGGCAGTCCAGGGTGTCTTTCAGCTCTCTACCTGGAGATGTTAGGGATCAAACCCGGCATATTTGCATACAAGGGATGCACTCCACCACTCACCTGAAGCCTT